AAATGTGTTGATACCATTTAAAAAAGTGTCGGTAATTTTAAGTAACGCGGTTTTTCTTCCTTCATTCAAAATATTTATATGTACATACAATAGGAGTCATGTTGATACTTACGATATATTATATGGAGATCGTTGTCATTCCATTCCGTCTTCGAAAAAATCAGTTGATGTAGGCTGTGTGCTTGTACTCAAACTGAGCTTGACTTGAGGACATGTTAGTTTGTTATGCCCCTCACCGTTGCAGTACCCACATCGCCTAATTTTCTTCTCGACCTTGTTCTTCGGCACTTCTTTTCGCTTGCGTTGTTTCGTTGAGGGTCACGAACATTGTTTACTACAATGCTCTGGTTGACTGAATGATTCAAACCAAACGAGTTTTCTAATTCTTCTATTAGTTTTTTCATCTCATCTCTTGCGGTTTTGAAAGACTCGTCTGTCTTTGATGCAATGTAGCATAACCTACTTGACGTTGAACGTAGAGCAGCGAACCTTGCCATTTGCATCACTTCTGGAGACACATTCAAATCAACATAGCTGGGTGCAGAAGCCTTCGCATCATTAGTCCACCTACTTTGAATCAAAGTCCCGGGCAAATATGTGTAGTCCAATTGCTTCAAAATGTGAAGTTGATGGCGACACGGAAGTCCAACGGTCTCGAATTTTTTGCAGGAGCAAATTAGAGTTTTCGTACGAGAATCAAAACTAATTTCAAATTTCCTATTTTTTCTGCGTACTTTGACAAAATATAATGTTGACATTCATCTGATAAGGACTTAATCTCTGCCTCAATCCGGTACAATGTCTCCCGTATAAGTTCATCTTGGAACATACGAAAAGATTCGCGGGTAAAAATCGCAGCGGCATGGCTTTCAAGGTCGACCAGTTTTGTGATCTGGAAGGGCTTCGTATGGGAACTTAAGTAATCCGCTTTCAACTCGTTCATACGCATTCTACTAATTCCATCTTCAATTGCACAAACAACATCTAAATATGTCTTCTTGTGTTTCAGTGCAATAGCTAGTGAAGCATTCATAGACTCGCACCTTTGTGTTGAGCGAATATTGGCAAAGAAATGACCGGTTAGATATGCTTGTGCCCATAAGTGTCGTGTATTTCCCTTCTCAATCACCCATGGATGCTTTTGGACGTTGAATTCTGAAACAATCGAACGCCATTGAATATCAAATTCCTTGGTTGTCCACCAGGAAGCCATGCATTTTGAGAATGCTGCTGTAAACTTTGGGTCACCAATGTTAGCTTGTGCATTGCGAGAAAGATACCAAGAACATAATCTGTGCTTAGCATAAGGGATAACAGATTTGATAGCCCTCTGCATTGCCCTATCCCCATCGGTTACAACGGAAATAGGTGATTTATTCATCATGGCTTCTAAAAAATTCTGTAGCACCCACTCGAAAGATTGAGACGTCTCGTCAGCGATTATGGCAGTGGCAAACACAATTGTGTTATGGTGATGATTGACACCAACAATAGGCATAATTGGTCGACCATACAAATTATCTTTGTACGTTGTGTTGAACGCAATTACATCACCGAAACATGTGTAATCCGATCTCGATGTAGAATCCGACCAAATAAGATTATACAATGCCCCCGATTCGTCTACCCAGTATGTCATAAAAAACCCGGGATCATCTGGTTTCTTATAATCAAAGTAGGCAATAAGCGCATTCACATCCCCATCGACGATTTCCTTTGCTTTACCTCTTTGAAGTGCATTGTATAGGTCTTTATGTGTAAATCCAACATTATGATAGCCCCCTGCCTGCTGCGTTAAATAGTTCATTACTTGTGACGTGCCAACACCGACCTCTTTCAATGTTGTTGCCTCATCGATATCAGCCTTACTTACAGCTCTATTAGAACGCATAAATGGTGTCATAGTAGATGTGCACAATGCATGATTATGTTTCTGATCAGACTTACTTATAACCCACTGATCGTTTGTATTTGTTGTTGTAACTACGACTCTAGCCTTACATCCTGTTCTTGTGACTGGCGTATGAGCACGTTGACGATCAACAGTATTGACTTTTGATACTCGAAACCCTTCTTTGGAACAACAAAATTCTTGTGTCTTCAAATTCCCTTCCACGTCAAGCCGTGTTGTTCCCTTACGTACACTAAACCCATGTTCCCGTGCGAATCCCTTGTAAAAGTGCCAAGCTTGATCACGTGAACAGAAGAGCTGACCAACCAATTTGTCAGATTCATCAACATTATGTACTTCATGGCATTCCTCGGTTGGCTTAACATTGTCTACATCAGTATTATCCATGGCAAAAATTTTGTTGTGCAAGTTCAGTGCTCCAGGAGTTGATGGAGATGTAAGCAAAGGTTCATTTTGAACATGTTTCAGTCGTGCTGCTTTCAATAGGATGTGGCATTGGTAGTGGTAGTTAAAGGGTGGGTACACCATTAAATTCGCAGTACATATTTAGGTATGTACAATAACTACAAGTATATTATCATTAAATTTAGGTATGTACAATAACTACATATTTAGGTATGTTTGTTAACTACATATTTAGGTATATACATCTTTTGAGTGAGTTTTAAGATATTAGTTTAGTAATTATAGGCGTCTAATGATTTATTTTTTATGTTACGGTATATATTATTATTAAATTAAAAACAATAAACATATATATTATATATTTATTATTATCTTTGGTTAATGTTGTTAAATTTAAATTATAAATATTATTTTATAAAATATCAAAACAATCAAATAATTTTTTGTGTAAATGAAATTATTAAATTAATATTGTAGGTGGAAAACATGAAACACTGTTAAAAAAATTGAAACATAAATTACATAACTTTTAAAAAAAGTATCGATCCTTTTTATAAAAAGTATGGACACTTTCAATATAATAGGTAAACATATGATGTAATAGGTAGCACTTATATAATGTAATAGGTATCGTTTATATAATGTAATAGGTAGTGGTTATATTGTAAAGTATCTATCTTTTTTATAAAAGTGTCCATACTTTTTTCACTGTGGAAAACAATAATTTAAGGTTATCTTTTGAGTGAGTTTTAAGATATTAATTTAGTAATTATAGGTGTCTAATGATTTATTTTTTACGTTACGATATATTATTATTAAATTACAAATTCTAAATATTATTTATAAAATATCAAAACAATCAAATAATTTTTTGTGCAAATAAAATTATTAAATCAAATTACTTTATTCCAACCATGTGACAAGTGTGACAACTCCATCAACTCACAACTCAGCTTTGAACTCAATCAATAGTGTCTTTTAGCTTGATGGTTCATAAAGCATGTTACTTGAACAGTATGAATCAATTATGCAATTTTCATGTTCAATTTAACACTGCATTTCAAATTCATTCATATGTAATTGGAGTTTGAATTTAAATTTCAATTTGAGTTTGAATTTCAATATATTTCGGCTCCACTATAAATATTAGCCCAAGCCAATATGCATGTTATCATTGATTATTCCTAATTTCCATTGTTTTTTTTCCAACGTTTAAACGCGAGGGAAATCCCGACCATTGTATTTTTTGGTCAACTTTAAAGCGTCAGAAACGTTTCGGGCGTATGATCTGGGTGGTAAACAAATAGCAACTAAAATCATAAGTCCGAAATGCTTCTGAGTACCACCCAAATCATAAGTCTGAAATACTTCCGATGCTCATCAAAATCCAAAGCTCATATGGTGCCAAGCAAAAGGAAATCAAAAATCTCATATGATGCCAAGCAAAAGGAAATCAAAATCTACAACTTGAGTTTGAACATTGATATGATATGTTCAGTTGTTATCATGTTGGGATTTTCTCGTTTTTGATTGCTTGGATAGTTGTTCTGTTGCTTCTTCAAGTGTCCTTAGCTTGTAATTTATAGCTTGGAATGTGTTTGATGTTGTATATATTATTATTAAATTAAAAACAATAAACATATATATTACATATTTATTATTATCTTTGGTTAATGTTGTTAAATTTAAATTATAAATATTATTTTATAAAATATCAAAACAATCAAATAATTTTTTGTGTAAATGAAATTATTAAATTAATATTGTAGGTGGAAAATATGAAACACTGTTAAAAAAATTGAAACATAAATTACATAACTTTTAAAAAAAAGTATCGATTCTTTTTATAAAAAGTATGGACACTTTCAATATAATAGGTAAACATATGATGTAATAGGTAGCGCTTATATAATGTAATAGGTATCGTTTATATAATGTAATAGGTAGTGGTTATATTGTAAAGTGTCTATCCTTTTTATAAAAGTGTCCATACTTTTTTCACTGTGGAAAACATTAATTTAAGGTTATCTTTTGAGTGAGTTTTAAGATATTAATTTAGTAATTATAGGCGTCTAATGATTTATTTTTTACGTTACGATATATATTATTATTAAATTAAAAATTCTAAATAATATTTTATAAAATATCAAAAAATCAAATAATTTTTTGTGCAAAAATTAATATTGTAGGTGGAAAACATGAAACACTATTAAAAAAATTGAAACATAAATTACATAACTTTAAAAGAAGTATCGATCCTTTTTATAAAAAGTATGGACACTTTCAATATAATATAATGTAATAGGTAAATTTGCAATACTATCGGTATAAATATACCGGATTACTTATAAAATAGATAAATATAAGCACTACCTATTACATTATATAAGCGCTACCTAGTATGTTATTGTACTTTATAATATTTCCGGTTAAATAATATAACATAACCGGTCAATTGTTTAACCGGTCACGCCGTATATTAACCGTTTTTTAGGCGCCGCACCGCACCCAGAACTACCCAGATAAAAGCACTCCATGCAGGATAGAAATGAAAGCCTTACCATTAAAATATTGCTATTTTAATATAATGGAAAATGGAAAAGACTGCTAATTTTCAAAATATCAAAAAGTAGTAACGCATTGATATACACACATAAACCCAGTTCAGAAATCAAATAAGCAGACAAGATCTGTCAAACTCAGTCATGTTTAAGTTTTATTAGAAACCGAAGAACGTGCAGCCCCAACAGTAATGATATACATAGCTCTGTAACATAATAAATAGCACCAACAAGTTATGAATCCCAGATTGCATTTCAACGTAGTCTCCTTTGAAAGTAAATTCTGATAGAATAACAAGGTTGATAACAGAGAGTTTTCTGCTTGCTGAACAAAGAGATGAGACTTGTATACATCTATGATTACCACTTCACGGGGTTTTCCTTCTGGTCTTTCACAGAAGGCTATTGACCTGAATATAGAAGAAGCCGAAATGAGTTATCAAATAAGAAAAAAACCAGAAAGAACCACATACAAAGAACGGCGGGAGAAAGAAATTCGACTACGGGTTAAGTGCAAAAACATATGAATCTAACTCAGTAGCTCTAGAACAGCGGTGAACAAGTTCACAATCTACTACAAGTGTTTTCAAAGACGATGGAATAAGAATTCATATTCCTTCTCTTTGAAACTAAGGCTCTTAAAGAAACATTCTCTGCAGATGGCTGGTACAATAACATTATAAAGTTTGAGCTGTAAATGGTGTAACCTCAGCGAATAGATTTCCGAGAGGCCAGAATTGCATCATCAATGCATCATAATATAGTGTAAACCTCTAGAAGAACGTAGTAAAATTCGATAATGGGTAGGCTATCAGATAAAGAAAAACCGCTCAACAAGGTCCACATTTCCTGTTATATTACCCAAAAACTTGTTTGAAGTTTGATTCATTTTGCTTTCTTGTGCTTGCGTGACATAGATAATGGTATGTACATAATTGTTACCTATAATATCCATTCTCAAACTACTTATCCTCACCTAATCTTGATATCTTAAACTCTATAACAATATTATGGTGACACTCTACTGCTAATCCTATGTCAAAGGATCGACTAAGGATTCAAGCAATATATGCATGGTTTCACAAAACCATATCATTCTTCTGATCTATGCACTCTTTTACTTATTTTGAACTAACTATAAAATATGCAGTGCAAAATTGCTAATCTGAATCAAGATTCTTTATGAACAATCCTCACTTGAATTGGACATTAAACTGATATATTAAAAACTAAACAGCACAAACTGCGACTATTATCGAAAACATTTATCATATTGTTTTCTACTCATTTTTTCACCTGTGCTCAGTAGAGTGAGAAGCAGCTATGGCTCAGTCTTCACAAGGTCTTCCACAGAGCTTCGGTAATTGGCTATCAGATCCCTAGAATCGGAAGAGTATCAAACGAGCACACATTCAACAAGTAGAAAATGTGCAGAAAACACAAAATTTGACCAATTACTAACCTCCTTTGGTTTAGCAATTGTTCACTTTCCTCCAGCTTTTTCTTTTTCCCTTCAACAGTCTATATCCAGAGACGCCGAAAATTCCCAAGTTAAACAGAGAACTTTCAACAAAAATAGAAAAAAAAAAAAGACATCGATGCTAATAAGTCAACAAGTTTTAAGAATCTATCATCACTGATAAAGGATACACATTTTCTAAAAATGGTAGAAAAAAGTGGAAAATTTTATATACTCTGCAGAAGCTTGCATCTACTTTAATCTCTTTCATCCAGATCTAATAACAAATGAATCAGACGATACGAATTAAATAACCAAGACAAGAAGAGTAGATAATTTACCATAGCTTTAGAATTAAGGGATGCAGCAATCGAATTCAAAAGCTGCTGGCTCTTCTCAAAGTGATTGTTCAGTTCATTAATCTTATCAAACCCCAGGAAAAAGAAGAAGCAAAAAAAAAAAAGAATAAATAACCTTCAAAATAGACACTAAACCCAATCATAAAATTGAAAAAGAAAGAAAGCCAACAAACCAAAGCATCAGAATGCTGATCCCGGGTTCCATTATCAATCGCATCAGCCAAATTCTCCACCAACTGTAAACCCCACATACAGACGCACGCATAATAAGCAAATAAAAGAAGCAAAAGACAGTAAAATAAGTTTATTAAGGTTGTGGTGTTGAAAGATTACATGTAAGAGATGGAAGTGGGAAACAAGTGACTGATGTTGCTGATTCTGCTGCTGCTGTTGCTGTTGTAACATACGCTGCTGCTGCTGCTGCTGCTGGAATTGTTGTGAATGAAATTGCTGCTGCTGCTGTTGTTGTTGTTGTGATGGTGGAGGAGAGGAGAGGTATAAATGGTCTTGATTTGAGGGTGTAGATACGTTATTGTGGGTTGGGATGCTGGGGATCATGTTCCAGCTTCCCCCTCCTGAATAGGGATCCATCGTCGTCTTTTTCGCTCTCGCTTCCTTTCTTTCCCTTTGTAGGCTGCTCACAGTTAGACGATTATATAAGGGTCATTGCTAGCGTACGCCCCTGAACCATATAATCCAATAAAATTCTGCCACGTGTGGTGAGAAATGAGAAACGTGTCGTAAACAAGACATTTTTTGTTTTTCCCTGCATAAGAGGAACAGACCTCATTAGTATATTTATTACGACTTTCTTCATTTCTCTTATTACACTCCAAACTATTGGCAGAAGGACTCGGTCGAAAAGAGTTTTATCTGTAAGTTTTAAGTCTCGGTTTCACTTTTCTCTTGTCTAGCCTATTGTATGATCTGGGGCAGTTTCTTTTTTCTTTTTTAATTATTTTTTATTGCTTTGTGACCTAAAGTTTGATAAAGAAGAGGGAACAGAAGATGGGGGAAATGTAAACCTCTTTGGCTGGGTTGGGGATAGGAGGGCATTGCAGTTGATTTGATTTTGGGAGAATGAATCCTTAACGGGAACTGCTTTAGTCCTTCGGGGTCAAATTATAGATTGTTCTTTTTTTCAGGATTTGTGGTCATTATGATAGATTAAGTAACAGTTTTATGTTCTTGTAAAAAGTTTGAGAAAAGTTGAATTTTAGCTTTGTGTTTTAGATTGATTTGCTTCTTTTGTCAGATTGTTGAAATTTTGCCTATGAGAATTGGAAAATCTCTTGGAAGTACTAAAACAGCTAGGTATTTAGGCAACCAAACAGAAATTCTGTGATGAGCTACAGGATGTTGGTATAGCATTTTTCATGACATGGATCTATTCGTTTGCAGTTTTAATCATTTCGTGTGTATACTTGCTCCAATGAGAGAATAGACATTTGAATTTTTGTATTATTGGAGGAATGGCAGATTCTTCGATAAAAGATGGCCGTGAAACCAACAGTAGCATTGAGGGCTTTCCTTGTTGGAGGGATAGCTGTTTTTGCTAAAGTAGCAGGGGCAATGAAGGCTGCGGTGGTGCTAAGCTGGGTGCTGCTGCAGCTGCCATGACTGTGGCTGCATCAGCTGCTAAGACAGGGGACCCAAGAGATGGATCTAAGCAACCTCCAAAATGATATGCCTTCTCTCCTCTTTCTTTCTGCGGCTTGTAGACGTTTGTATTTTAGGTAGCATACTTGGCTGCTCACAGGGAAGCTTGTCGAGAGCAGATGGCTATGCTTGGCGTTCCGTTTTTAGTCATTACTGAGTTTTCTTTTGAAATCACTTGAAATAAGAAAAACCAACGTTTTGTATTTGAATTAAGCAGAAGATGGTATGTTGCTATTCAAGTACAAACGTGAATGTTTCTCTTACATTCTAAAGCATAAAGTACAGCTGTTTCATTTGTAGTAGTCTTTCTGGCTCACTTGCATACAGCCCAAACGCGCATTCCCTCTGGAAAATGGAAACATTCTCAAGTAGATCCAGCCTTAACGGATTGCAGTGATGCTCAGTTCTGCCACCCGCCATTTTGCCAAACTAGTGTCAGGTGGTGCCATTAAAGTTGATGAACACTCGCTTCTCTTGGACCACAAGTGAAATCTGGCTGATCAACTGAATCCACCACAAGCTCAGGGTTCGGTGATTCCAACTCAAATATCACCTACAAAGTGATGAACCAAACCGTCATGGAAGAAAATTTCATTGCGATTGAAAGTATACAACCATTCCATAAATTACACAGGCATTTCATACCAAAACATTTTCCCCATGCCGAAGGATTGGAGCAGGGATATAAAGACTGCATTGTGGTCCTGAAGTCTGCAAAGAAAATCACATTTATTTTTTGAGTAGTTCTTTTCATGCCCAGAGAAAAATATGCGCAAATGACAAATAAAATTAACAGCATGCCAGGCCTAGAAAGAAAATAAACCAACTTACCGGCCAATATCTTCCAAGGTTGAATTCATTAACGAAAGCAATCCCTTTCCCCCACCAATGTATGTATCAGTAACTTCAGTCGTCATATCAATAGAGAAATGGCCGGTGTAGAATGATGGTCCTTCTAAAACACCCTCTGTTTATAATCATTTTATCACATCAAATATTGGTTCATTATTTTATCATATCAAATATTGGTTCATTATTTTATCACATCAAATATTGATTCTTCATTAGTTCATACATTGTAAGTAGGTATACAAAAGGAAAGTGTGAGATGATGATATGACCCTTAAGAAATAGTGAAGAAAATAGACGAAGAAGAGAAGAAAGAGGAGAGAGTAGACGGGAGAATATAGATTCAAGAGAAGAAAAAGTTTATTCTTTTCACACATGAAAACTATATTCTGCATTATATGGTTATTTAATCACAATCACTAGGTTTCCTCCTATTTTGGCTTAGGCTTATCCTAAGACCCTTGTTTCCCTTCCTTTTCTTCATGCTAATTTTCCCATATGAGTCACATGCTCCCCTTTTAATTCATCTTCATCAAAATTTCCCAATTCACTACATGCAATCCCTAGCTCAATCCCTAATTCATTTTCTGAATTCCCAATGCCCTTTGCTTCGTGCTTCTCCTCCTCTCTCCCAACCGTGACAATTCCTCCCCCTTTAGAAGATCCTTGTCCCAAGGATCAAAGTATCGAATTTGTGATAGCAAGACCACAAAATCCTTCCAAGTTGCAAAAGAAGGAAGTCCATCCCAACTAATTAGCCATTGCTTGTACGTCCCTGGCCTCTGCACCCTCGTAGAGCCATCGAGTGCTATAACATTCCTGACCTGTTGGTTTTCGGCCAACTTGGTACCAAGTTCCTCTGCTTTAGATTTTGAATTTTCAACCTCTAACAGCAGGGTGTTAACTTTCTTTTCTAATACAGGCAAAAGGGTTTTGATACCAAAAGGATTTTGGCCTTTAATAAACTCTTCACCGAAACTAACCTTATTCCCATGCCTATCTAAAACCTGCTGTGAAAACTTATGATTTATAGATGCAGCTTCAACTTCGGCAATGTTTAGGATTTGATATGAAAAATCAAATAGCTCGAAATGCAGCTATTGCCCAAGCAAGTATATTATGGTACAGCCATCCCAAGCAACTGCATCGCCCTGCATATCATGATTGTTGGGCTGTAATTGAACAGACTGCTCCAGATATCCAATTTGGAGGCCACTGTATATACGATAGAAATCCTTTGAAGTTGTGATGTCAATGAACCCAGTCTTTGGAGCAGCACTCCGTTTACTGCAATATTTATCTAATGTTGCACTTGTAAATGCAAGTGCGTATTCTAACACACTTCCCGTATTTAAGTTAGCCTTGTACAAAAGATCTGCAGCTTCTGCCTGTTTTGAAATTGTGTAAAAGGAGGTTGGATTTGGGCACCTAGGGTTCGACACAATTACAGCTGTAGCAGATTTGAAGAGGTTGACAACAGGGCTGTCTCCACCATTTTGTGAATACAATGTTTGCCCATCTGCACCAGGAAGCAAGCCCAACCAAGTTGTTGTTTGCATGAAATGTGTGGTATCCAGCTCTCTCAAAACAATATCAAGGAGCCCCATCCAATATAATACACTCCCAATCTCCTTTATTCCGTGAAGAACTTCTGCTTTGAGCTCTGGTTTTGGTTCCCAGCTGAGTTGCTCTTTAACGAGCCTCATACATCCTGTCACACCCCCATCAAAAGGAAGAAGTCCAATTGATTTCGGCAGTGCTTCTTGCAAGCCTGTGATCATAGGCTCAAGTGTAGCAATCTTGTTTGATATATGATCCAGCAGTGCTCGGATAAGCCACGGTAATGACCTAGATCCTAGAAGTTTAACAACAGAAATCATGTGTGGAATCCCAAAAAATCAACTATGCAATCGTGCAAAACTTTGATGTGCAGAATTTAAATCTTGAGTACCACAATAGAAGTTTGGCTTGGCATGTGGAACTGATGGCTTTTGTACATGAGCAAGAGGAACTTTTTAAGATCGGATAAAACGCTGAGTAGTATTGCAAAGGATAAAGTTTGGTAGAAAATCATTTGGCATCTCAGACCAAATCTGAGAAATTAGTCGACTAGAAAATGACACAAGAGATATGTTCTCTTGCATCTCATTCAGCATGAGACTGAATGAGTCTATTAAAAGATCTTTTGAAAGTAATTCATGGGAATGCTTCAGTATATCTACCAGCTTTTCTAATTCCACTATGGCACATAGATCTTGAGACTCAAAACGATCAAAGAGAAACTCAAGATTTTCTCTGAAGACTTTATTCATCCGTTCAACAATCAGACTTCTTAAATTAATTGTCCTCCCAAGTAACTTCACTCTAGTCATCTTTAAAAGTGAAGTAAACCGCAAAGGTTGGATAGAATACTTTTCTCCATTGTCCAAGGCAAAGAGGAATGAGGGATCAAGCAGTTCACTAGAAGACCAGCTCTTGTAATATGTGAAAATAGCTTCACATAATTTTGAAACAAATATATCAAAACAATGGTCCACCTCAGCCTCAATTTCATCGTAGAGGAAGCGTTGCTTTAGCACAACCAGTGCATGTTGTGTTGAGTCGTTATAAATGTCAAATGGCATCAACACACTTTCAAGAAGACCAACACTTTGAGACTCGAGCACGTGATCCACCAGCATCCAAGGAAGGGAACACTATTGGAAACTGAATGACACGAGAAGACTCCAAGTAAAATTCTCTAAACCATAAGAAACCAAGATCTGTCAAAGTTGCAATAGTTACTGGCTTCTCAACCCATGGAACAACTCTTAATGGTTGCTTCCCATGGCATTCACGCTGCATGAACTTAATAGAAAGAACATCAGAAGGGGCAGTTGCAATTGAAATGGTGTATGCTCCAAAGTTATCTGCCGGAAACTCTGCCAAGATACTGATTGTATCCAAAACAGCACCATTGTCTTCTGTTATAGGAAGATTAAAACCAAACAACGGATGTTTTCCACTTGATTCAGATGTTATCCATTCCATCTTTTGTTCTTCAGACCACTCACGGTCGGAACCAATTTCCAAGTGTTGGTTACTAGTGATGGATGGCATTTTATCAAACACTTGACACCCATCATTTGTGCCTTCGATTGCCATAGGTAACGACTCCGTTTCAGGGTTGTTTTGGTCTTGCTTCACCGTCTTTCCTGTCAAGACCCTTAGAATTTGCTCGAAATAACCCTTATTCTTTGCAATCCTTGTCTCCAGGTACTGATCTTGCTTCACCAGCTTTGATAATTCGTCAATCTGGTTATAAATTGCAGAAAGAGCAGAGGATTCATCCATTGGTTTGCCAGGAGTTGTGGCTCTGGATACCAATTTGTTATGACCCTCAAGAAATAGAGAAGAAAATAGACGACGAAGAGAAGAAAAAAGGAGAGAGTAGACGAGAGAATATAGATTCAAGAGAAGAAAAAGTTCATTCTTTTCACACATGAAAACTATATTCTGCAGTACATGGTTATTTAATCACAATCACTAGGTTTCCTCCTATTTTGGCTTGGGCTTATCCTAAGGCCCTTGTTTCCCTTCCTTTTCTTCATGTTAATTTTCCCATGTGAGTCACATGCTCCCCTTTTAATTCCTCTTCATCAAAATTCCCCAATTCACTACATGCAATCCCTAGCTCAATCCCTAATTCATTTTCTGAATACCCAATGCCCTTCGCTTCGTGCTTCTCCTCCTCTCTCCCAACCGTGACAAATGAGCAAGAAACTACGCAGAAGCTGATAGTAGAATAGTATGAAGTACAAATATTAGATACCGGATTTTTTTGTGTGCATGAAACATACTTGATTTGTGTTCTAGCCTTTTGCGGGCAGATACTTCATGGAATTTGAAAGCAATCTGAATGATGGAATGGAATTTTGGCACCTCATTCAGGTTATGGAAAGGAATTGGGATCATTTTCCATCTTTTCAGAACTCTCCCATCAACATAAACAGAAGACAAGATACCCTACAAAATCAGTCAAGAAAAATGAAGTTCTGTTAGACTACCATTGTTACATGGTTTTGGTTCCTTATTTACAGCTGATGCATGGTAAAGTGGATCCGGAAGAACAGTTATTATTGACCAATTAGCTTATGAAGTTTCCCTGACAAGGGATAATTAAACTACCAAATAACCATTTTCAAAATATATTTCCCTGCTAGAAAGCAATGAATTGATGTCATCAAAGCTGGCAATTACATTGGTATACCTTTTGAATATAGTAGCAAAGGAGCAAAAATGAAAAATTCTAATGAATAGAAATGTACGAGGATTTGAGTGATGACAATAAATAAAAATGGCCATTGACGTGACATTTCAGAAATAAAAGAATAATTTTCAGCTTTACAGGCACTTTACCTTCCTATCAAAAATGTATGGTCCATAATTTACACGACCCATGTTTTCAACCTGCAAATGTCAAGTTGTAGAAACAAAGATATGAAACAGGTGTGTAATAAAGACAAAAGGAGAAAAAAAATTAAAGCATGAAACTTAGAAGACATTGTTGTAGGTCTTGCAGAAGCTTGATTCACTGTTAAGCTTGTAACTTAACAAAAATATGGATTAATGAACTTGATACCGCAAGTGAGAATATTTTCACTAAGCTATTGTAAATATTCTATGAAGAAAGAAAGTGAGAATTCAAATAAAGAGAACATAAGTTCTGTTCGAATTGATTGTTGAGAATTAGAGAAGTAAAGTTTAACTCGACATCTTTTTCCTAACCTTTATCTCTTCAAAAAGCTTATCTTCTACGAAGATAAGTCGTAATCATAAAGTACAAGTAAATTATAACTAGAATTAGAATTTAAGATAAACAAAAACTCCTTTTCTAATAGCTTTTAAATTACGAAAGCTTTCCACAGCTATCATTTAACATTCACAGATAATTGTCAATTTGCATAAACCACAAAGGGCGATATGCTCAAAACATGAGGCCAGTTGGTTACCAAAATAAATAAGCTGGTGTTGGAAACACATTTAACATTGGGAAGATCAATTGCTTGATTTGACCATCGTTCAATTGTACCAGCATATGATACTTGTCCACCATTAGCTTCAGGGGAGCATGACATGAACACTTGAGCTCTGTCATGCACCTGCAAGCATCATATTTTATAGGAAATTAAATTTCTATGAACCATTTGTCAGTATTGAAGCACCGAGGAAAGATAACTCGGTAACCATAACTACAAAATGAGGAGGAACGCATACCTTTGGTATAACTAGCTTACTTCCGCCAGTTTTAGGTGCATATTCAGATACATATAATACAAATCCAAACATCTGGATGTTAGGAAAGACAAGCAAAAATATTCAGCAATCTTGTATTTGTATTAAATTGCTAAACACAAGCAATTGAGCAGTAAAGCTTCTAAATTTTGCACACCTGATTTAAATTCTCCATTGTAGTTGGATTTTCTGATTCAACAATGAGTGCAGAATCAATCTCATCAAGTAAATCAAATAAAAATGCTGTTCTTTTCAACTGGATGGATCCATATCCAGTCTTTTTATTATTGGAAGGAACTGAAGGAAGAGATACTGAACTATAATTCCCCAATACTTTCCTAATGGCTGAAACACAATATATTTGGTGAATGGAGTATGTTAATAGACAATCACTTGAAAGAGAATAAAGTTTGATGTTGTCTATCTCAACTATTAATTTGTGCACAAGTATCAGAAATAGACCAGGTGTAACTGCACAAAAACTAGGATAGAATGATTATGACACCAAAGACCAAACCACTGTGACAACAAGAGTGCCGACTGTAAACTTTACAGGGGGAAATTCATAAATAGTTAACACAAATATTATTTTTTTTAAAAGAAGGATGACAAGGCTTGTAGAGGACCTTTTCAATAATGTAAAAGATGAAATGCATTGAAGCATAATGTCCATCAACATGTGCATCAATTACAGAAAGTATCAAGTTCTTAAAGCATGTAAAATTACCATGAATATAAGCAATACCTATACAAGAAAGCTGATTCCCTCTAAACACCAAATGACAGGATCATGTCCATCTAAAGTAAATAGAAGTCAAACAGGTAATCTGCTTCTGCCATTGGTCTAATCCATCTGCTTAAATCCTCTATCTCCTATCTAACTATCTACCACATCACTCAGTATCTTCTATGTTTTTTCGATAAGTTCATCCACTTACTCATTCGAGACGATATTTATCATTCTTGGCAACCAAAGTTGTCCGTCAGCTCATCAAACCGTATCTTAACATTGATTAGCACACACAAATCAAACGTAGAAATTGGTATTTGCATGGTAGTTTTACTTCTCAACAAAACCATGCAAAATTTCAACTTATTATCCTTCCGGTCTTGAAATATTCAGCCAGCCAAATCAGGATTATACCTTTGAATTTTGCATTTTCTACATCACCAGCCTCCGTAATTGGTGCATCCTGGGGTAAAGTAAAATAAATTCAAAGCTTGAAAATTATAAATTAAAATACTGAATACAAGGAGGAAAAACCATTCTCACATAATCATAGGATGTTAGATCAGGTTTGTAATCTGACTCATCCACACCAGTATTTGCTCCATTATAAAATCCAAAGTTTGTTCCACCATGTGCCATCTGGAATTCCAAGGTCTATATCATAGCATGACCGTACAGATCATAACTACAAAGAAATAGTAGTAGGATGGAAGAACATACATAAAGCACCACAGAACCATTTTGTAACATAACTTTTTCCAAGGCAGCTGCAGTAAACTCTGCATCTGTCCTTGCCATCTTCTCACTCCAGTGTGTAAGCCAACCTGTATAAAATTCCCTGAAACAAAAGCATTATAAAGCTTGCAGATGTGTCAAATGAGCAGGTCAGTTAAGCTTTGGATTGTGACATTGACAGTCAAAATAAACTCGAGTCAATACAAATTCAAGTCATCTGGATTTCAGAACATTCGAATTTAGGCCATTTGGGTTCTGACACTCAAGTTATTTCTAAAGATGGCAATTTAACCCGAATCCGACAGATTCTGACCCGACCCGAGGATAATAATGTAATTTTCTTAAATTTTGTATTATTATTTTAACTAAGTCCTTATTTTATATTGGGTCTGGTCGGGTTGGATGGAAGATATGAATTTTCGGGTTGGGTCGGGTCG